AGTCAGTACGTCATGAGCTACTGCTGAAGACTCTGTCGTCGTCGTAATAAGCTCAGGTCTCGATACGCGTGCTGGTGAAGCGAGTCGAGCTGAATGACGCGCTTCTTGAGCTTGCAGCGATTTGATTGAGCCGTTCCGGGCTCGAGTGAAGCATGGAACGCCCACTCCCAAAAGGCGCGGCGATTCGCCATCCAAAACCGCCAATGGGTGCGAAGTACGTGGCGATACTTCTTGGGATCGTAGAAGAGTGTCCGGCCCGACCATGGGAACGCCAGACAACACGGTTTCTTGCCGGCTTTGGCCGCCTTAGCCAGAGCGGCTAGGATCGCCTTACGGACGGGAGCAGGGGCCTTCGCGGTCAGCTCGAGGAGGTCGCTGAAATCCTCGGCGGGAACGCGAGCCGCCTTCTTGCCTTTACCAGAGGAAAACCTCTTCTTGGCCGGCGACCTCGTGACCGAATCGTCGCTCACCTTGCGCTTGGAGCTCTTCTTGAGCTTGGGCGAAGGTGAAGCAGCACAAGAGGTTGACGAACCCGGCAGAGACGGCAGGTTCCCCACGGGACCGCGGAGAGTGGGCGCCGCGTCGTCGTTGAGGGCGCCGCGTCGGTTCCTTTGCCAATTGCTGCAGGTGCTCCAGGCCCGACGACTGCTGGTTACCGCCGAGACGCGAGACCAAGTCGTCGAGGAAGGCCTCGTTGAGAGACCGGACGTCGCAGCCGATCGTGCCCAGCTCGTCCTGTTCTAGGGCCGCGTCGAGAAACAGACGGACCTTCTTCCGCTCTGCCGAAGTGAGCCGAGACGATATGCGAGGAAACGAGGTGACGAGGGAGAGAAGTGCTGCCGAGGAAGAAGATTGGTAAATGAGAAGTTACAGGAGTGAAGTTTCATCTTGATGGCTGACTTTGGAGTCCGTGCGGGCTGCGCCCCTGGGAAGTGCGCCCGGGAAAGGAACGGTCTGATGGAAAGTGCCCTAAGAAGGAGCGGTCGCCCTTCCAGAGAATGGGGATTGTCACTTGAAGATCGTCAGGACTGATGAGCAACTGGGTTGCCTGGCAGGAGGTGACGTCTCCTCCAGTGCAGAACGAGGATGGAGTCGAACTGTTTGTAGGCAGTGCGGTAGTGGACATCGTAACGTGGGTGGTAGCCACGCCTTTGCGGAACGTCTCATGGGCGTTCCAGGCGAGCCTAGGACTTAACGTTCAAGCGGTCTACTTCTTCTTCAACACGTGTGGTGACCGGTTCATTGGAGCTGCCCGCGACTTGCACGCTCTCGCCTTGCCACCGTCAGAGCTCGCGACTTCTCTGTTGACCCTGACCTTCTTGATACCCATAGCTGTGCTGAGAGGCTACGAGGAACGCTCTGGGATCGTGGGACGCCGCTGCTTGAAGTGGTGGGAGGCGTTCCATCACTCCTGGTGTATGTTCTTGCCTGAAGCGGTACGGCTACTGTGGGCGGCTACCGGAAGATACGCGCGAGCTACGGAGGGGGCTACCGTCACTGTCGCTGGTAGAGTGGGTGACATCGTCATAGTTGGATACCTATTGACGACGCTGCTTTTATCTATCCTGATCTACGTTCCACGGCTGGTATATGAAGGCACTGAAGGGGTGCACCATGGCTAGATGGGCGTGGCTTTGGTAGTGCTGATTGTCTTCATGGAATTCTCTACATGGTGTTACTACTGGAACACCTCGCTGCTGATGGTCGGCTGCTACAGTCATCTGATTCGCAACTATTGAGGGCTTCGTGCTGATAAGGAACAAGGGCCAAGAGTGAGAGCCAAGCAAGGCTGGTATAGGCTCGCTGGGCGGATTGGGCGACGCGAAGAGCGCGAGCGTGTCAGCGTGGCCCGGTTGCGGGACATCAAGGACCAAGGAACGCCTTCTCCGGTCGTGAACGCGAGTCCTGTACACATTGGAACGCCTCTGGGTTTCGTTCCCACTGAAGTGGCTGACAGCAACAGCTTTACATTTACGTGATAAACCTAAGTTCCTACGTCAGCCTGCTAGATACACGACCCCGACCTAAGGAGGATTACTGCGACACTACTATTCCGATTTTGTTACCTTTCTGGCTTCAGTTGCTATCTTCAATTATCGACTTTAGCTAATCGGCGTGTTCCTCATGATGCAAGACTTGGCTACGTCGACGTTGATTGGCGAATAATGAGGTAGAGCTATTTACCGCGCTGTCAGTTCAAATTAGGGAGTTATGGTCGTGGCTGCTCGCGCGGAGGCTGCCGGCGTTGCGGGGTTTGCAGCGCGCTAGACGACTTCAAGGCGTGGGAAGGATCACCTGCGCCTGCTCCGTCCGTCCGCCAATTGGTACTGCTCTAAGGTGTGTAGCTGTTGAGATTTTGGTGTTAGAAGAATTATATTTTTGTTTGTCAAGTGTAGAACTGAGAATATGTTGCTTGTAGATCTGCGACTGGGGACGAAGCGACGAATTTTGGCTACTGTTCACCTTCGGAGCCAAGCTTAGCGTGTTTATCTACCAGGTTTGCAGGGATTTAGTAATGAGGTGATGCCGAACCGTCTAAGCAGAGCTGTCAATGGCAGGTGACAAGCGATAGAGATCTGCTGGCGTGAAGGTCTCGTTCTTCGCACAATTGGTGCGTGGCAAGTGCGATCGTCGTGTCACTGCGGTGCTCTTCTGATGGCCACAACGGGGGAGCTGCGGCTCGTATGCGGCGAAGAGGAAGGCTCTGGTGGGTGTTGCGTTAGTGATGAGGCAGTTGAGAGCATTAGTGGTGACGTACGTGCTGTAGGGATGTGGCGTCGTTGACGATGATCGAGCAGCACAAGAAGCACAAGGCGGAGGTGACGGCTGTGACGGTGTCTGCTACACTGGACGCGATTTATGTCATTGCAGGTGATCGACAAGGACAGATCAGTGCGACGCGTGCGTGACGCTTGTTTGTTCTTGTGCATGTTGATTGGTCCTGTTGTTATCGTGCCTTGTTACGTGTAGAGGAAAAGTGACTGTGTTCATGCCAGTCTCAGGTGACGGGATCCATTCAATGGCGATTTCGCCGCATGACAAAGCGCTGGTAGCTGTAGCATACAGGAGTGGAGTCTTGTGTCTCGTGGATGCTGCTCGAGGTTCTATACGCCATTGCCTTGATGGTCATATTCAAAAAGTCCAATGTGTTGCGTGGACGTCAACGAACAGCTCTATCACTGTTGACCAGGACAATTGCGAATCGCAATCGTCGTGGCACCATCGCAATTTGCGATGGTGCCGAATCATATACCTCCGCTCGGAAAAAGATAGCCATTTGTTTTTTTTTTGCGCAGCGCTCCGCCTCGTTCATTTGAGCGTTTATTAATTTGTGAGAGGCTGGCTAGCTAGCTTTATGACCGAGAGCTGACAGTGAGAAACTAAGCAAGGCACAGGCGTTCATGCTCCGCCGTGCAACTACATATACAAAAACGGATCTAAGACGGCAACTACATCGCCCACATTCTGAAGGGGCGCTCAGTGGGGCTTCTGGAACTTCAGCGGTAGGCGGTGGGGTGCTGCTCGCTGCAAGAAGCAGCATGTACGCGTTAGCATTGATAGCGTCACAAGGCAGTGACGTAGGGAGAGTGCCAGCTCGTACTTGCTTGTCCTTGTGCCGGAGGCGCGCCAACTTGTGCGTGCGTGTAAGTAGTGGACGGGTCAGCGCACGCCGTATGTAGCCTTCCTTGATCAGCTGCTGAACCAGGTAGCAGCTCATGTTGGACGCGCGCTAAAGCAGACGCTGGTTTTCGCGCTCATTGACAGGAACTGCAGCGATTCTCTCGCCCAGCGCAGCTCGATCCACCTTCTTCCTACCACATGCGCTCTTCCTTGACTTGACCACGGCTGCTACTCGATCTCCCATCGAATTGATTCCACGCCTCCAAATTCGTTCGTCAACTTGGCGGCCCACACGGAAGTACGCTGCAGCCCGAACGATCTCTCCATGCTTGAGCACTCCTCCTACGCTGCGAAGCAGTAAGGTCTCCCGAACGGCCTGGCGCTCACTGTCTGTGATCTCCCCCAGGTGCCAGCTTCAAAATGAAAGCTAAAAGTGATCGGCATAGAGGGGGTATTTTTTGGGTAGGCTGTAATATAATTTGAAATGGTTATCTTTTTCAGAACGGAGGTAGTACAGTACTGCACCCCGTTTTCGCGCCCTTGAACCTTTGATATATTTCTGGATGTGATGATCCTGAATACAAATTAATAATATTAGACCTAAATGAAGAAAGGTTTGTATTCTAAAATCGAATTTATTTGCAAATCCTATACCGCCAAAACGGAGTGCAGTACTGTATGTCAGATCGGGGAGTGTAACTGGCTTCTTCATCCAGGGATAAAACGATTAAGGTCTGGAGGATTACGTCAGGTGGTCTTGTCGGTACCGTATTGACTCAATACAATCAGCCTGATTGTATTGAGTCAATACTATCAGGGGATGTAGGTTTTTGCCAGCTGGGAATTGAGGGAACTGAGTGAGAATTGAGCTTTTTGACAGTAGTCGCATAGATGCGGCGTGCTTTATCTTGGTTAAAGCTAACTGGTTATCCAAATCAAATCGGTGAATACATGTATTGGCAATTTTAAAGGCGACCCTTCCAGGCCCTACCTGTATACGAGCCGTAAGAAATTCTTCCGATTCGAACCGGCCCATTAGAGGCAGGAGTCGTGACGATCGAACAAACACTAGCCGATATTTGAAGCAGTTTTACATTTACTGTAGTATTAATTAAGGACGCACGCTCGCTTCGCCGCTTTTGTAGGCTCTTTCTTTATACAAACGAGTATGATAAAGACAGGAAGTTGACGTCAATTTCGGTTAAAAAGGTTTTTGCAAAAGCTTACAGCGCGGGTAACCAAGGTGATCATGCTGTTCAGTGGCAGTACAGCGGTTAACAAATTACTTGTAGTTTTGTATTATAGTTGCTACCGGTATAAGTAAGCGTACGAGTAATACTTACGGCAGTGTATCGCCACTCAGTGTCAGCTCGTCTTCATCGTGGGAAATAGCGTTAGATTGAGAGGGTGACTGTAAAATGCACATTATAGGTGTTCGAGCCCATTTTTAAAGGTACTGCAGGTTGTTATAGACGCTCTACGGTAAAATGCCACTTTAAGTCATTTGGATCAGTTTAAGGCGCACCAATAGCAGTCGTAGATGCATCTGATTGGTTATTTTTAGAGCGGCGCTCGCCTCCACGAATACCTGTCAGTTTTCCAACCATGAAGTGTCGCACAACGTATAGCAGCAAGAAGAAGATGGAATTGGTGAGGTCTATTCGCGAGGGAGGCAACATTGAAGCTATTGGCGAGGAGAGCGGTGTTCCAGCTCGAAACTTCTTCCGGTGGGTTAGAGATGACGTTAGTTGGCGTGAGAACGGGAATAATGGCCCGTACACCTTCAGCAAACGGCGCGGACCTGATCCCACTCTGTCCAAGGAAGCCGAAAAAAGTATTCCAACGGCACACACTTACTGCAGCCATTGGATACTGCCGTGTTTTCTTCGTTCAAAAATACGCTCCAAGATCGTATTGATGCTATTATTCGAGCTAGCGGGATTAATACTATCAGCAAGGAAAAGGCTCTTCAAATGGCCGCACTAGCGTGGACAAGTTGCAATTTCAACAGCAATATCTCATCTGGATTTCAGAGCTGCGGCATTTTTCCGTTAAGTCTTGAAAAAATGCACGTGAAGCTACTCAATTTCCAACACAACGGAGTTTCTGCTACCGTCAAAAAGGCGTCTTGGCTGCGATACAAGGAGACACTACAGCACGATATCTTGCTTCTGCATGCTCGCCAACAAAAGCAGAGTAGGAAAAGAAAAACCAAGAAAGTGGCTGGTAGATTGCTAACGCGTGAGATGCTTCAGCAACCTGACCAGTTCTCCCAACGAAACGCGCCGAAGCGAACAAGAAAATCGCAGAGATACCGAATTTCTACAAAAACAACAGCGAGTGGTATGCACCACCAGGACCAGGAGCTTCATCAAAAGCAATACCACGATCACAACCACGAGAACGAGCACAAACACGAAGAGGAACAAGGCATGGAGAGCGAATTGGTGCTAGTGCAGCAGCAGTCAGAAGTTGCTAGCAGTGATACGGTTCTGTTCGAGGTGAGCTTCTAAATACTCCGGATTTTAATACACCATCTATTTTGATCCAAGTCAAGGTTATAATTTTACGTGGTTCTAATAGGAATTTACAGAAATTCAACAGTACGTGCACGATCGTACATAAAAGTCTCTTGTCCATACTCAAGTCAAGTTTAAAATTGTCTTAAACTGGCACACGACGAAAAAAGATGGTAATTTCAAACCGCCACTGATGGCCGAATAGTACTCAATTAATGTGTTGCGCTTAACGAAAGACGAGATTCTGATAATTCCAGTCGTGGTTGTTTTATTCTCATCTTCAATGTCCGTTGAAAATTACGAGATTTTAAAGTTGGTCATCTGTCACTGACTTAAACTGGCATTTTACCTTATGATGTTGTGCTGCTGTCGAGAGTACTAATCTGCCTCAATAAAGAGCACTGAAAAGCTGATAACCTTCAACATATTATGCGACGTAGTAGCTATCTCCACTCATTTCATGTAATCTTGAGTTGTTTCTGAGAAGAAAAATATGCTCTTTGTTGCGGCAAGTTACTGAACTACTTCGAAGTAAATGACAATTAGGAATTTTACTGAATCCTTATCGCCAATCTGTGACATTCGATCCGTATGCTTCCCGTAATCCTATCCTGTGATGCATGCAAATTACAATGTGCCGATTTCTCGTGGCCACTGTCTTTCAGACGCCTCCTTACTTCGCATTTGCTACCCTTGAAGATATTCATGTTCAGCGCCACTTTGGTTGTCCAATGCTCCTTTTTGAGATGGATTCTTCTATCCATAGTCGCTGCTCTAGCGTGCACTCCGGCGACTTCGGTATCGATGAAGGTCGCTCACAGCACGCAAAACACCATCGCGCGGGATTTGGACTTCGCTCTCCAGCGATTCTTGAGGTCTGAGGATATCAAAAGACCGGGGGAGGAAATCGGCAATTTGGAAGAGAGGGCGCCGGCGATAATTGCCTCGGAAACGCCACTGATAAGAAAATTCGTCCAGAATATTAAGCTTCGATTGGGAAAGCAGTCTCCAGGCGACGCGTTTAAAACTCTTGAGCTGGACCACCTGGGTACAAACTTGTTTAAAAGTCCCGATTTTTCCAAATGGGTGAAATTTGTCACAAAAGGAAACAAGAACGATCCAGATATGGCAATTTACACAACACTGGCAGCTCGCTACCCCGACGAAACATTAGTGACGATGTTAGCTGCAGCTAAGAAAATCGACAGCACCAAAGATATTGCCATGAAACTGGAGGGGGCACAGGTTATGAATTGGATCGCTAAGAAAAGAAGTCCCGACGACGTTTTCAAGATTCTGGCCCTTGATCAAATAGGAGAAATGGGTATAACGAGCCATGCGTTCTCGAGGTGGACTGACTTCATCGGTAAAGCGAGCACGGAGAAACTGGAAGTGGTCGTTTACAAATCATTGAGAGCACGTTACAGTGACCAAGCGTTGGCAAAGATGATAGCTGCAGCTAACGAAGTTGGCAGCACCAAAGCTCTAGCTACAAAATTGGAGGGGGTCCAGCAAACGAGGTGGAAGGACTCGCATGCTTCGGTAGACTACGTGTTCAAGACCGTAAAGCTCGATGAGACTCGTACAAAAATATTCGAGAGTCCGCTTCTAAGCGCCTGGACAAACTACGTAGCCAGCATCCAACCCGACAACCCGAATGGTATAATACTCGCGAAGCTGAGCTCACAGTTCAAAGGGTTTTCAACGCTTCCGAAGATGATTGAAGCGGCGACCAAGGTCTCAAGCACGAAGAAGCTGGCAAACGAACTACGGTCTGTGCAGTTTAAGAATTGGTTGACGCAGGGGCTAACCCCCAAAAAGGTAACCAAAGATTTAGGTGTAACCAACACCAACGGTTTGGACAAGAAGCTCTCGAATGATTACAGAAAATTCTATCGGAAGGCCATAACGAAAGCGATGAATTGAACATGATTCTCTGTAATCCAAGCGTCACGTGACCTTGCTCAGCAGGTGGCAGTACACTTAAAGAAAAATAATGCAGACATGCTTCGCACTATTGTAGAATATCATAATGCCGCTGTGCTCTGGATTTTACAATGAATAAAAACTGTTAATCCACACTTCCTGGATACATGTCAATGTCTCATTTTGTGAATGACGGCACCAGAGACTACTGGTAAGTGCTTTTGAATTTTAAAATACAGTATCCATGAACAGATAATGTACGTTTCATAGCTAAACTTTAGCACCTGTAAATGTTTAAATCTGTTTAAGAAGGTAATGCGATTTGAGCGAGGTTATTGCGGTTGTGAGCTTTTGAAAGAAACAATCTTTCAAAAGCTCACAGCCGTAATTTCTCAGCGAGCTCACCTGCTGCGGCGATCACCACCCGATGACACTATTCGTCGCTGCAGCGGTGGGTTATCTTCGCTACTCATCTACGTGATACGTCTTGAGGTGACGCAGGGCGCCTTGGACTGCTCTCTAAGTGTAGGTCACTTCTTAAAGTAGGTGCCATAGGAATGGCCTACACTAAAGTAGTAAAGCAATCAAAAAGAGGTACATAAACACAGTGAGTGCCGGGCAAAAGACACGACAGGGCTGTAGTACTGGTGTGGGCTTGCTCTTTTCTCTGGGGTTCGCTGAACCGCAAATTGAGTTGTGTGAGAGAGAGAGAGCAAAGCCTCACGCAAGCCAGTACGCGTCTCCGCAAGTTCTATTCGATACATACAATAATATAAACCACACATTACCTAAGTCAGTGT